CAAGCCCATGCAAGCAGCTGCAATTGTACAAAAGGATTTTTAGATTAATCCTAAACTCTACAGTAACCAGTGCAATGACGCAAAGACAGAGGAAACATGTTCATGTCTCTGTTTGCCAGTTAGTACTGCAATCTTTGCGATAAGTTGGTATGAAGTAGTACTTCCTCACCTGGATTATGGGCAAAACTCGACAGGCCAAACACAGCGGCTCGTATTTGATACTCCCGTGAACCAATGTCTTCCCTGTCCACCAAACTGGAGTTTACAAACTTCCTTTCAAACCCATGTTTTGTTTCCTTAAAATACAAAACCTCATTTGATGTTTGAATGAATAATTGGTGTGTCACTTCCATGCAAGGGTGTTAGTCATACTAACGGCTTCAGTTTCTCTTTAAATGAAATTTTAGAAGCTAACATTGATGTCATGGTTTTTCCTGGCTCAATATGACGGGAATAGGCCCTTAAGCATGATTTGTCCACAGGTTTGTCAGTTCTGCATTTTCTTGTTATTTCTGACCATTTGATAGACAGAAAACCTCCCTTTAAACAAACTAGTTAAAATATTTTTAATGACAGACTTGGTGATTCTTCATTTTTTAGTGAAGGAATTTACCTGCATGTATGTTTGGATTATGTAAGTATTATAATAACAGATGATTTTTTTCAGTATTATAGTTGCATAATGAAACGACATTTAAACTAAATGTTGAACCTCTCTCAAAACACTTCCTTGTGGTTTGATTGAGCATTGGCAGTATAAGGAAATGACCCAACAACTTTTTACTGGTTTTGTTTCTCAATGCTTTTCTTCCACTCTGAACCAGAAAAAAGACAAAGGAAGAAAACAGAAAGCTCCTTTGCAAATGAAAGTAAATGAATGGTTGTGGTGCTCTTTACTTACTTACTACTTTCCGGTAGATCATTAGTGTGTGACTAACCATTTCAGCACATAGGTGAGAGCAGAATCAAACTGGGCCATGGGTACATCCTGTTCATGTGACCCCCCCTACTCCACCACCCTCCACCGCCTCCAAGAAACAAACTAAGAAGTCGTATGAACGATGCTGCACTCTGGCCTTACTGGAGCACCTGAAAACCGTCTGCACCTGGAGGTGCACTGCCAGGGGCGAATAGTAATTAGATATGGTGATGAATATGCATGAGCGAGTGGGCGGTTTTAAACCAGGGACCAAGGTTCTCCTCGAAACAATGCCCAGTTCAGCCCACCCCCACCCCCTTTGCTCTTTTTGTGCTTGAACATACATGTTGCTTACAGACGTGTCTGCTCCCAAAGAAAACCAACCACACAATGAGGATGTGAGAGAAGGATGTGGTGTTTTGGTGAAATCTATTCTCAGATTTACTGATATGTCTGTTTATTTGGTTTCAGAAATGCACCCAGAAATACACCAAAGATTGCTAAGTGGCATTCTTAAAAAAAGCTACTTTACCTGACTGTTTTCTAAATTTTGGCTCCAGTCCTGCTGGCCGTGGTGATATATTTTACATTTACTGAAATTTGGAAATGACTCAGCTTCATGGTGAATTTCCCTTAGGGCGCAATGGTGTTGAGGAAACCCCCAGTTCAGTTCAGTTATTTCAGACACTGAGGCAAGTGAAAACGAAAAATAACACACCCACATTTATTTGTCAATTGCACGGTAGATCTGAATTCACAAAAATTACCTGCTTTAAGTTTTTTAGAGATGTTGAACATGTGGCCGAAAATATCCGCCTATGCTTTAGTTTTCATTCCTAAATAAACAGTTTATCCTGAGCTTTGTTATGTGTTATGTTTAGTTATGTAAAGCTGATATATATCTTAACAGCACACCGTTCAGACTGCTCTAAATTGCTGTGATGTCATATAGAGATGATATCCCTAATATGGTCATCTCAGGTGCACAGGTGCAGTTTATGAGGGGCAGCCAATCAGGAAAAAAATACTTCAATAGAGAGAAAACAGCTTGTTTGAGACGGTGGATGAATGGAGGTATAAATAAGGATATTTAAAAGATTACTTAAAATCGCAGATACTCTTATTAAAGAACATAAAACTGGAATGAGCAGATTCCCTTTAAGTTAGGCAAAAGAAAACTAGAGTCACAGGACAATTTGTAAAAAGGAAAAGGTAATTTTTAAGGATTCGCTTTATAAGCACATTAAAGTTTATGTGGTCACAAAAGAATGCTGTGTTCTGGCTCTAAGATTTTGTTTGTGGGTGTAACCTTCTCGCTCCAGCTGATAAAAAGCCAAACATACACATAGTACTCCCAGGGCAGCTACAATAACAGCGGGTAGAACAGAAACGCTCCGGCTCTCTAATGCATTAGAGATAAATAGGGATTTCCTGTGTAAAAGCATTCTTTACATGTGCATATCTAGAATATGGTTTTATAAGAGAGAGAGAAAAAAAGATGTTTACTGAGGAGGAAATGAAACTTAGTGACTGTAAAACATAGTTGCATCTTGTGCTGCTTTTTGCTTTCTTAAGTAGAGTTAAACATTTCTTTAACATTACTGATTCAGTTAAAACCACAGCAGAAGAGACTAAAAATGCATCTCTCTTTGTGGGATTAATGTAATTAATTTATCAAAGAGACAAACTGATTTACTTAATATGTAAAAACCGTATTAGTGTGAGAAGGAAGATCTTTTTATAAAAAATATTTTTCCCCTTTTGACTTTGGGGAAAACAGAAGACAAACAATAAAAGGAAATCCGTGTAGCTCCAACCAACAATAACAACCAGGAGTAGTTGATAAAGTAAAAATGTGGCTCTCATACAGTAAATGAGAACAAATGAGCATATCGATGCCAATGCTTGTTAATCATTACCAGCTGATAATGGACAGTGGACATGGATGTAGCTGCGAACAAGCATGATGATTTATGGAGTACATGCATAATTTAGTGGTTACTTCAGGATGTATTTCTGTCATTGCTGACTGACGTCTCAAGTAGTTTACTGTTCCCAGTAACTCATTAACACCATGCATGTTAAAACACAGATTTTAACAAGAGCCAATAACATCATCTGGATAAATTCCCTGCTTGTGTCCTCAGGGTTACTAGTTTTCCTGCGAACTGAGCTAGATTGAAAGCGCTCCTGCGGGGTGAATTTTCGACCCTGCTCGTTGGGTAGATGTGTTTCAAAATACATTGAAGCTCTGTTAAAAACAAAAACAAACTTATTAAATTATTTAAATTAAATAATCTATTTTTGTTTTAATCCTATAAAACAAATGCAGCATCACCAAGTTCAGCAGTGATGTCACCAACTCTGAGTATGGAACAGTTTTTATCATCCAACCGAGGAAAGAAAAAACACCTTAAAGAAGCATAATCTCAAGTTTCAAGGTGCTCTATATTGTAAGGTAAAGACCTACAATAGTAGAGTACCAGACGATCCCCTGTGAGCAGCATTTGGTGACAGCTATAACTATTAGTAACTCTAGGAACCACAAGCAAGCCTGCAGTCTGAAAGCCAAGTGCTCTATTTGGTACTACAAGATGTTTAAGATATGAAGAAGCCTTATCACTCAGGACTTTTTATGTGATCGAGATTCTAAATTCAATTCTGTATTTATCAGGGAGCCGATGAAGACGAGCTAACATGGAAGAAATACGAGCCCTCTTTGTAGTTCCTGTCAGTACTCTCGCTGCGGCGTTTCAGTTCTTCTGAAGGCTTTTCAGGGAGCTTTTAGGTGATAATTAATTACAATATTCCTGCCTGAAAGTAACAAATGCGTGAACTGTTTTTTCAGCATGATTCTGAGACAGGATGTTTCTATTAAGTAATACTGAAAGAAAGCAGTCAAACGCATTTGGTTAATGTGTGCACTGAAGGACATATCCTGGTTAAAAAAAGGCTCCTCACAGTGTTAGTGCAGGTCAGGTAATACCATCCAGAGTTGGTATCTGGTTAAACATTTTAGAAACAAATACAAATATAACCTCAGTTTTGTCTTATGAGATTCTCCTTCCTCTTCTTCTTCACTCTAAGTGTGACAACTTAAATTTAACTGTAATGCGTTTCACTGGAAAGCAGCCATGAAGGGACTCTCATAAGTCAAACTAGTGGGGAAATCCCTTACAGTGCCAACAGGTTGTAATATAATTTTGCTAGTTGGAGCCACTGATAGCTTTTAACATGAAATATATATAGAAGGTAGAACTGCTTAGATCAAACAGTCCATATTTAACTTTATGGCATGAAATATAGAGACGATGGAGAAAATTAATTCAACTTCCTTTAGTAACATCTCTGACTGAACCTGTGACAGGACACACATCTTCCATCACATTGTTTTCAAACTCAGCAACTTGTAAATAAAATTTACTAAAGTGTTGAAGTGGAGCTGAGTGAAACAGAGGAAAGCACATCAGAGTGCAGTAGGTATATCAGTGTGTAAATCCAGACTGACTTAAGAGTGGAGAAAGAGCGGGATTTCCTTTAATCCTCGCCACAGCGGCTCATTAGCATTAATCACCACAGATATATCATGTGTAACGTGGCTTTTGATTACCTGGATCCAAGGCGGCAGGCTGGCAGTGGTTGACAGGACTCGCCTCGACAGGCTGGGAACGAGCCAACCTGTGGAAAAACGCAATCAATCCAGTCAGGCTGATCAATAAAATTATCCAAGGGATCTAATCAAACGGCAAACAGAAGTCAATTCACTCAATCAATCGGCACAACAGCGACCGCTTTCAGCTTCAGAATTAGAAACAGGAGTGTTGGAAGGCGGGTGTATGTAGTGATACCGATGAAAGGATTCTCCTAAAGGTATGAAATGGGATTAGTGGTTAGATGAGAGAGCTGACAAAGTGCTGCTGAAGACCTCATATTTCTCCTGCTCTCTGACCGCCGCCCTCGCTCTTGCTCCCGCAAGTAAACAGTATAACATGCCATTCGTCTACAAAAATCAATCAGCGCCCCAGGAAAGCAATTTCTGCCCTAAAAAAAGCCACAGTTTCAATTAACGGGTTTGAGTGACACAGAGAAAGAAAAACCTTCAGGGTTTCTCTGAAGAAACATGTACTGATTTTTTTTTTTATCTTCTTTGGCTTTCAGGTAAAGGACAGAAACCAAAAACCCACAAATGATACCATTTTTCTGACCACACTGAAATTAAACCAATAACAGCGGTCTTCGGGTTACAGAGACATGCAGTCAGTGTTTCACTTTTAGCTGCAATTGAACTGTTTTCCAACACTTGAAAACCATGTTCAGGAGCAGATTTAATGAGTGAGGAATAGGCATACAAGGAGAAAATGGAGGGCGCCAGATCAGTTTGATAAATGAGGCTAGGAAAACCTTCATAGTTTCCTTTTGGAGCACTTTGAAATAAAGCAAAAGGTAACCAAGTCTTGTCTTTTTTTAAATATAGGTTGTGTATAATTCCTACAATAGACACTGTATCTATTAGTTAACTATTAGGGGGAAGGAGGACTCTCAGCCATCTGAATATTAGCATAAAATGTCCTCCAAAAATACTAGCACACGTCTTCAAAAACATAGACTGTATATCAAAGATGGGCACAGCTACTGATATCCATAGCAATTGATTGTCTAGTCCCACCTTTTGAACCAGACATCATGAGTGTGCAAAGCCCCCCCTCCCCAAAAATAAATCACACCCTGCTTCACCATACTTCTGCACTCTAATCTGGACTAAAATATAAAAATGTAACTCCATGTGGTATTTCTATTTGAAAGTAGTCGTAGAGGGTGATACATCAACTAAGAAATAGGGTCATTTTCTTGGAAACTTCCATGCAAACAGATGAGTCACCCATTAAAAGAATGTAAAATACGGATACTGTGCCTGTCTTTGAGACAAAGTCTAAAGTCAGTTTTACTTTCAGTTTGTTTAATGTTGTGCTTCTTACTGTTTCTCTGGCTGGACCACTGCTATCTTCTTCTGTTTCTGGCCTGCAGAACGAATCAATGAGACTTTGTGTTAAGCTGTCACTGCATGGCAAATTTACATTTGTGTATATTTGTGTGTCTACGTACAGACAGGTTTGATTGGAGGGGTCAGAGGGTAAGCGTTGGCCTCGCACCAGCCGACAGGGAAGATGTCCATGGACTCGACATCCACGATGCACTCTGACAGAGGCTTCGGCACACCTGGAGATGGGCAGACAGCGGAAGGAAAGCAGGGGTGAGGGAACTGTCACACATATACAAACTGCTGTTTTTTTTCTCTACCCCATCTTCACTCTGGGACACAGCAGGAGTCCCTGACACTTAATCCTCACTGCACGCACACACTCACACACAAACGAATGTACCTTCCAGTCGGAGCCACAGCAGGCGTCCTCTGACCTGTGTGACCTGAGCCACACACACCTCAGCCGGTCGGTGAGGGTTCACTGCCTCCAGCCACATGTCCTTGGCAAAGTCTCTGCTCTGCCATGTCTGAACGCACACACACGAGGGGAAGAGAGAGGGCTTATTTTACATTCAGAGCAGGGATCTAACCTGAGGTAACCTGAAGCCAGGTTCAGATTACAAGACCTTCAAACTGATTTAACCCTTATTTTCCACTTGAAGGACTTCAAACAAGGTGCTGTAACAGGGATTTTGTAGGCTCATTGAATGTAACAGTGTCAGAGGGGTCTAATAAGTTCCTGTTTACAATATGTGTCTCACTGTAGAGTGTCAACTGTTATGTAAACCTGAAAAAGAATAAAACACTGATAAAACGTTCTTTGAGTGTTGCTGCTGTTTTCACAATGTACTAACATAAATAAATATTTAAAAACAAGTTTTAAAAGTGATATAAATGGGAAAGAATTGAAAGTACAGAATGTTTTGCATGCATCATCCAAATGCAAATATCGTTTGCTTTTTTAACTTCACCAAAACAGAATAAAGTGGCAGACACTGCTCTCGATCATTTCATGCATTTTCTGCCTGGTGCTCATTGGTGCAAGCTTCTTCTGTTCCCAAACTGTGTGATTGGGACAGTGGGGCACAGTGGCGGTAAAGACAATTACAGCAGTGAAAGTGCAGGCAATGGCTTTGCACTTCAGATTGCAACTTACAAGATATGTTAAAAACCTCTGAGCTTGTTGGGACAGTGGGATTTAAAGCAGATGACACTTGAATGAAACCATAAAGCAGCACCAATTGTGTCTTCTGTCTCTGCTGCCACTATGCTATCCTGAAGTGTTGTGTTGTTTCGGTCTTCAATTTGGTTTTAAAATGTTTGCAGGAACCCTACTGAAAAGCAGCTTCCTCTGTACTAAACACGCTCCCATCAAAACATAGGCTGAACCATCAGGAGTGTCCCAGTTTACATCTCTTCACCCCATGCTTACATCAGGAAAGCAGGCGTCAGGAGCTGCTTCTGTCCCGCTCTGCTTCAGGTAGTCAGCCCAGTCAAAGTCCTGGCCCTCGTAGGCCCGAGGCCTCTCCAGACCCACGCCGTTCTTCATACACCACTGGACAGGCAGGATGCCAGGCGAGTTGGCATGACACACCACAAAGTGTGGCTTGGCTTCAGCAGAGAGGTCATCCAACATCACCTGGAAGTAGAACTCATTGTAGACCTGAAGAGTAAACAGAGGGAGAACATTTAATCTCTTCCTAACACAATGATTTCAACACACGTGTAAAAGAGATTATAGACGACAAATTTACTCTCCATCTTTTAAATGCTTAGACAGAGCAAATTAAAAGAAAAAAGATTTCAAGTATGAAGGCATCCTTGGTAATGTACAATTATTCTTGTGCCACACTAGTCTGCCAGTGTTTTAAGCCGCTGGATCTACCCTGTGAAACAACAAAGGCCAACTAATTATAAAATTTAAAATCATAACATTGAGCACAGTATGTACTATCTAAGCTGCTTTCCTTTCCCCCTGCACGATGCTTTTCTTTGTGTTTAGTAAATTAGGAAGAAATGTGTTCATCATGCTCAAAAATCAATTAATATTTTTAATTAATGTGTAAAAAGGAAGAAAAAACCCAAATTCATGTCTAAGAAAGGTTCCAGTTGATTCCAGTGGTGCAGAGGAAGGCCTCGTCCATGGAAAAACATTTAAAAAATCCAATGCTTCACTAATAACAGAAGCTGACGAATGCTCTGTTTTTTGTTTTTTTTAGATAAGCCATTGTTCTCAGAGCCTTTCTGCGTGACTCACCTTTGTGACAGAAACAGGGCAGATCTGGAGCTGCTCCCATGGAGAAACCATCTCCAGCTTCATAGCCATCTTGAAGGAGTGCTTGGGCAGGTCTACATGGTCCTGACACAGTAAAGTCAAGATTTTTAGACAAATGTGCTCCACTTTTGATCACACACACACACACACACACACACACACACACACACACACACACACACACACACACACACACACACACAGTCCATGTAGGTCATTCAGACCCAGCTGGGTGGCCCTATAATGAATGAAGCATTCTGCGAGGCTTAATTCATGCTGCTGGCGATCATTGTGATGAATTAAATATAGTTTTTTGCCTCGCACATTGTTTTTCTAGCACCATGACACCTTTTTTACATTCAATTTGGTGTGTTGATAAGGTTGTGTTTCCTGTATCTCTTTGTTTTTTTTACCTTCTCCATTCCAACTGACTCAAAGTGTAATCAGTACATCCTGTATCACACGGTACTTTCTTGGTTTCACAAGAAAACACACTCAGATCTTCTTTGAAGGGTGTGTTTTCTGTTGTTTGTGATGACACACAATAAACTGTATTATGTAAGAAGGTTTTAGGTAATGCCGTGACTTTTTGCCTTTACTACGCTTATTCACTGAATGTAAGCAGGCTTCTATTTATTCTAGCCTTTCCGGTTGTCAGGACGGTGTCATGTGGGCTGCTTTGGTAATTTAAATCTCTTATTTCTAAGATTTTTCTTTCACACTTTTACTCATCTGTTATGTCCGTATTGGATTCATTTCAGTTTCTGCACCCTCTTACTTGTGCAGAGCTCTATCAAAACCTAACATTAGCTGCAGGCATCTGTGTCTATGCAGCAGGTGCTCAAGCACAGCATTAGGAGGACGTCATCCAACACAAAATCATTCCAGCTACACTCATAAACAGAGGAATGCAATTTATAAATTACACTTCATTTTTGCATTGACTCATATTAAAAGCACAGTTTAACGCTAAAGTTCTTAACCTTGAATAAGTTGGATTGGTTTGATCATAATTTGTTCTGGCTCTTCATCTCTAAAGTAAATTATTCCTTAAATATTTTTGTGAATGGAGATGGAAAATATTCAAATGATGCGGTGGAAAGAAGAGAGTTCAGCTGCTGCAGTTCCAATTAATCCACCCGTCCTCCTACTAAATGCTTTATTCGGTGCAGGGGGGGTCAGCTGAACATGAAAATGTTAAAGTTCCACAGATTTTTAATAACAGTTGAATAAATGGATGACTGAATACACAATTATTGAGATTTAATTGGCTTTCAAGGGCATTTCTTTTTTTCTGTAATTGGTACCAAGAAAGAAAACTTCCTGGAGATGTAAAATGAAGAGTTCCTATTCTTTCCTTATATCATAAATTAGCCATAGTTCACCTGGACCTGATCTTCCTGCAGGTCACGGAGCCTCACCTTGAACACCTCCAGAGGTAATGGATTCTTCTGTCCATCGAGCTGAGCATCCTCTAGAGCCTGCTGCCAGTCGGAGGTGCTCTTCGTAGACTTGAGCTCTGCGCGACAGATATGAGATTCTTTTTTTCTCAATTCAACAACTTTTTTCTTCAATTTAAAAACACAGACACACAAAGTCAACTGTTTGACAACAGTTATAGATCATAATTTGTCTTTATGACTTTGTCTTTACAAAAAACGTATAAACCGTTTGATGATTTAAATATTAAACCTTTAAGGATTAACTTGTCTCCTTATTTTCCGAGCAGGTGGTCGAACATTTAAACCCAGCATACCGCCTTGTCAGCATGAACCTTTACATCTTATGTTTTAAATGGCTTTAGGTAGTTCAAGCCCATTTTCTAAAGACATTTTATGAAGCAAAGTATTAACCAAGACAATAACAAGGACACACAGCATAGATAATATAATAATTTGTGATGAGACGAAATGCCCAAAAAAAAAACAACAAAAAACAACAACAATGAGTATAATTAATTGGTATCTGGAAGTTATAATTTACTTGTAGATAAAAATGTAAAAGGTGAAAAAGTGCAAACTTATTAGACTCTCACCTGTTGGCGGTTCTAAGGTCAGGCAGTTTTCCTGGGCCCAGCCGAGGGGCCGGAGCCTGACGTCCAGATAGAACAGCCACGTGTCATGATCGTGGTACTCTTCAGAGAGGCCAGCATACCGCAGGCGGAGCCTCCCTCCAACGTTCTGGATGACTTGTACAGGCCAGTAAAGGTAAGGGTCTAAAAGGTCCTGAAGCTCCAACACCGATCCGTCGACAATCAGATCGACCGTGTTCTTGCCTCGTAGAGGCTAAAGGGGATGGACAGAGAAGAGTTTTTACTTATTAAATAAAATGAAAATAAAACACACTGGTCACAGAGATGCTATAAAGGCTAGCTTAATGATCGAATTAAACCTCAGTGGAAAGAGTTTGCGTGTTATCCTTAGATTAAGATGAGAAAAAGAGGTATCTAAACAGGATGTTGAGCTTGAAAACAAAACAGTTTTAGGTTTAGATGATCACACCGGCATCCAGACCTGCTAATTATCCTGCTCTCACAGATGTCAAGAAGTACAACAAGAACTTGTTATTGAGTGTTAATTAGGATACAAATCTCAAAACTTGCCAAAACACTTTAATTTACCTGCTTTGACAAAGTGTTAGAGAGGGTGCAAGTTTTTTTAAGTGTTTCTATTGAATTGAATGGAATGAAATGCTTTGCTTTTATGTTGCTGGGAGGTGCATTCACTTTGCTTTCTTCAGCTCAAGACAATAATTTGAGATTTTGAGAAATCTATTTGGACCTCACATAAAAATGATGTATGCTGATTAATGTGTCAGATCATGTCTTGGAAAACGTGGTCGGTGGGGAGGTTTTAGGTTGTTTTTTTTTTAAACAAATAAACACAATCAGCTAATTAAGAAGCCGACTTTCGATGATTTTAACTAAATGTCCGTGTACATGTGCACATAAAGAAAGAAAACCCTCACATGTAGAAAGAGCTTAAATTTTCTCTGGTCTGCAGTAATGCTGCCATCACTCCAGAAATACCTGCAAATTTTATCGAACATCTTGAATTATTAATGACTTCTCCCAATCTTTTACACTTGCAAAGCTATCCAGCGGACTTGACTGGACCATCTGGAGTTTGGCTAGCAGGATCTGAACTTATGTTCTTATATTTGGCCTCTGCTTTATATCAGTCTTGCAGGTGCAGAATGCAAACATGCTCCACACTCTCACAGCTGATTTCTATTCTGTCACAAAACATAATCAAAAGAGGCCCGTTATTTTCATTTTAAACTTCATATTTTTACTCTTGGACTCCACCAGTTGCTTCTTATGATTCAGAGAGCAAAATTATTATTTAACTATCTCTGTATCTCTATTCTATCTCCAATCTCCACCTGCCTTTAAGCCTGTTCTTTCATCCGAGTTTGACTTTTAAACTAAAGATTTGAAATAACCACATTTTTTCTTAAATTTGGGAAAAAATATTAAAATTGTAGAAAGTATAGGGTTAGGGTTAGTGTGTCATTGTGCTTCTCTTGTGTGTCATTGTCTGTGTAAACACACACTCACCCCTTCCAGCAGGTTGGCCGGTGCCGTTCTGGCACCCGTCAGGTCCTGAATAAGGAACTCTGTCCAGTCGCTGTGTTTCTCCTTGATGGCTGCAAAGAAACACAAACAAAAAGCCGACACTGAGGAAACATGTACACAACTGTGCAATGGAAAGTGAGCACAAGGTGTGTTCTTGTATAGTGTTTAATTATTAAATGTGTGCAGAGCACCGTTAGATGTAGCCACCAGAGAACAGCATGCAGAGGAAGTGCATGCATACACTTGCAAATGCAAATGTTTCTGCTAATTTAGGTGTTTCAAGGCATAAAGCAGATGTGTAATGTGTCACTAGGATGTTTGTGTGTTTGACTGATTTCAATAGTTATGCAAAACGAGTGACAAGAATATGTTTTTCTGCCTGGAAATGTCTCAAAAACGTCAATAGCCTCAATGTTTCTTAAGTCTGTCATGTGCAAAAGAGAAGTAAAGAAGACACCATATTTCATAGGCATTTGCAAAAATAAGCGCATAAAAATGAAAGACACTGACTAATGGCATACTAATGGTGTCGTTTCTGTAATAATGTGCAAAACAAGAGCTGCAAATCTGAGCAGAATAAATATAAATCTTTTAGTTCTGGCTCTTCATGGTGCTAAATGAGTATTTCTCTAGAGACAAATGGGAACAACCCCCCCCCCAAAAAAAACCCCCAAACTGGTTTTGTCCAAAATTTTACATACGACATTCACCAGGATGCTTGTAGCTTCCTCTGTGAGCAGCAGCATGATGCACGAAGTCAAAATGACTGTAATGACTGAGGTCCTGCTGCCACAAGTTTGTTTCAGGTTTAATACCACAAATAAAAGTGGGACAAATCAGACCTCTAAGCGCAAGATTCAGAGTGTCTTTGGAAAAAAAAAGAAAAAAAAAAAAAAGAAAGAAAAAGGAGCACAAATACACTAAAACCCTGGAAAAAAAACCAAAAAACCAAAAACAACAAAAATGTCAGTTGTAGCATTAATTAGCATTTAAAGTTCTGGTTTTGATGAGTCAAACTGAAATTAGACTTGAACCATCAAAATCAGATAGGGGAACTACATGTTACGTAAGTCAAAGTGGTGATGAATACAACTGTCATTAGTCTGTGTTATGCACATAACTAGCATGGCACAGTTTTGAACTGTCTGGGTGCAAAAATGTGGATGGTTTCCATTTAATCGTGGAAAAAAAAACTAAAGCAATCCAACACAAAACCTTGCAACAAAGACTATCTGGATATAGAAACTGATTTGGGAAGGTTTCGATTCTGCTTTCACATGATTATTTGTTTAAAATTGTGACATTAATTCAAGCTCAATATCACAACCTTTAACAAGGTTTTGGATGTAAAGCTAGGCTGCTGTGTTAGACTGAACTTTAACTGTATGCACCTAATAAATTGGCTAAGCATAGCAAGAGAATAATACAGGTAATGTCAGTCATAGACAGTCTTGAAAAGACTTTCATGGGTATGGCAAATCAAATCAAATGTCCCTACAGAGCAGATTTAAATCGTTGCCTTTTAAAAAAACATGCAAGATTGATTATATAATTAAAACCATTTACTTAAAACAATAAAACTCTCAAATCCAAACAAAAAAATGTAAAAAAAAAAAAAAAAATGTTTTAAGGTAGTTCATAAATGTGTAGCTGGAATGAAAACACTGGTGAAAAAAGGTGTTTTTATTCCAGTGCTATGGAACAAAAGCCCCAATGCAGCTTACCCACTGACCTCAATTGAGGTACAGTATACGCTGTTGATTTCTAGGAAAACCTGTGTCACAGTAACAGAAGAGTAGTTCTGTACTGTACGCATTCAGAGGACAACCACTGCCTGGCTTCACAGACATAATAAAAAGTTCTTATAACCTTTTTCCCTGTTTTGCTTGCATCCATTAGTACCTTGCAGCAACTGCAGGAAATATACAAATGATTTCAGAAAACCTGAATATAGTCAGTTGCAGTCATCTAGTCCAGAAGATTTTAATGCAGTAATACCAGCGTCTATACCCTCAGGAAAGAGGATGTACCGGGAAAAAGAAACAACCTTTTACCACTGAACTGATTTGTTTATCAAATGTCAGTTGAAATGACACTGGGCAGCATGTGTATGACTGTTGATTATTGACTGCCCTAACCTTGATAGTTATATTCAAGGTTGTTTGTCGTATTTAGTTCTCTGTAATTGAGTAATTAAGGGATTAATTTGCCTTCTGGGTCGCATTTCCTTTCTATCCATCTCCTTACTTTCTACTGGAATGATTATGTGTAACTATCCTCTCAAAAGATGACCCCATATCTGTGAACAACAGTTCTTTCTTGCCTTTTCCTAAAGAGAAAAAAACTTTTCTTTCAAAAATGCAGAGGATCTAAATAGCAACTGAAAGATTAAATTAACTGTTTGGCTAATTAGAAGGAAAGGATGAGCCTGAAACATATAAAACACAAATGAGGTCAATTTCAAATATGGATGCCAGTTTTGTGTAATCATGTCCACCTTCAACCAAAGACTGACTTATGTCAGATCTAAGAGGAGACAATAAAGACTGTTTTCCTTCAATAAAATGTTCAAAAATATGTAACTAAATATTTATTTTGCAAGTTTTTATTAATGCAAAGTAGGTTGTGTTTAATTAGATACTATTCACTTGCATTTTGACATTAAAACTATTTGTCTTAATGTAAGTAATCCTCCCTAGAGGTTTCATGGTGGCATCCATTCAAAGACCGTTCAAAGATTTCCCTTTGTAACATTCTTTGACTCCAATCTCAACAAAATAACAATTTTAAACTGGGCTTTTTACAATGTTCTGATGTTTACTCTTGAAAAACATGCAAATTAATATATATTTAAATTGATTTTTGTTTATTATACACGCAAAATGGCTTATTTGTATTTTTTTTTTAAAAAACCTTGATGCACACTATGTTTACTCAAGTTATTAAAAAGCACAAGTTTGTTATTTTTGCACTGCCAGCTTAAGAACTGCTTCTTTAACGTCGACCTGAAAGTAGGTGTGCTTGCTTTAAAACAATGGTTAACACATTAGAGGTGAATCCCCACAACGTTTCCGCAATAAAAATAGATCTGTGCCTGCACAGCATGTCTTCTATCAGCACACACAAATGCATACACTGATAGATGAATACGCCACACTGACCAAAGCTTCAAAACCATGCTAACAAGCCAAGTTAAAATAAATTTGCATGGGAACTTGTGGCTTTCATATGCTTCCTGCTTCCCATAGTGGAACAGTGTTATATAATGCCTGCTTTGCTTTTCATTTGCTTTTGACTCTTGATTAAAAAAAAAAAAAAAAAAAACAACCTAAAAAAACCTTCCTTTTCCCAAAACACAGAGCTTCCATTCAAAGGAATTTTATGGATACATTTTTAATGTTTTTCCCGTTAGTCACTTACAGAAATAAAAGAAAAAACGCAGACACTTGTTGGAGTTACTGAAACATACCAAATGAGTCATAGTTGCAGAATGACTGCAATGTGCTGTGAGAACTGACATTCCTTGCAGCACTGATTAGCATCAAGCTGAAGTGAAAGAAGAAAAAATTTCTCCATACACTGAAACATGCCACTGCGCATGAAGGAAAATGGGTTGTGAAGTTAGCTTCTGTGGCAGTTCAGTGAAAGCATTGTTGCTGAATCATTTTTGTTTCTGTTATATCCAGGTTTTGTATCACCTCTGTCTTGTTATTCCGAAGTCAACATCAGCAGGAGAGTTTTAGACACAGTAGTTAAAGTTTGTTGGGAGCTTTTTCCCAGCAAAGAAAAACTTGGAGTCATGGTAAAAATAAAGTACACTCTCTGTCAGGTCAAAGGTTTTACTTATTAGGACACAATAAAAACAAAATCTGCGTCTTAAAATGAGGTAAATACAAGCTATGACCTGTAAGAATGAAACCAAACATGACATATTACAGTGCTGTTCTTTATTTCTCAAAAATAAAGCCAAAATGCAGAAGCAATGTGTGAAAACTCGCTCCACCCCATGATTTAGCAGTTTGTAGAGAGACTTTAAGCAGCAGTTACTTGAAGTAACTGCTTTCTGTATGACTCTCGCATCTTTGTTCAGGACTTTTGACCAACTCTTCTTTAAAACACTGTTTCAGGTTTGCAGGCATTTGTTTGTGCACAGCTCTCTTTTGATCTCGCCACTACATTTCAATCAGGTTGAGGTCTGGACTTTGATTTGGTCATTTCAGCACTCTGCTTCTTCTCATTTTCAGTCTTTCTGTTCTAAATTCACTGCTGTGCTGGGGATCATTGGATCAGTGATCAAGAAGTGCAAACACAAAATTACCATCAGAATCATGAAGCGTACACACTGCTCTATTTTATTTTCACCACTGTATCTATGCTAGTAAATCAGAGTCATTCTGAGACAACAGGCATGTGTGATCTGCATACCACCAACCCCCCAATTCTCTATACAATATAATTACCCCTGAGTCTTCAACAAAAAGAAGCAAACAGGTGGGGCACCTACACACATTTATTTAAAAGTAAAGATTTTCAGCATCTGTTGGATAGAAATTAGAGTTTAAGTGATGACCTCCAACAGTTTTATGTGCAATTTATAAATGAATCTTTTGTGATAAGGTGAGACGAGATAACAAACACTGGAATGTATTTAAATTAAAAGGGTAAAGTCTACATCTACATATTGTTTTATTTACTTGCAATTTGCTTCCATCCATGTTATTATTGTTGATATTATTGTTGTTATTATTACTACTACTGCTCCTACTACTAATATTATTAACACTATTATGAGTAGCAGTAGTAGTGGTAGCATTCATTTTGGAAAAGTGTTTTCTAGCATAGCTAGCCCTTCCTTTATTTGTACATATAGCCAGAGGGACTTCTACATTTGTTTATAAAGTACGAATAAATTTACGTATGAAAATCACTGATTTGCATATGAAACATTTGGATGCATGATTTAGGCTTGTGTTTCTAGAGAGCCATCATCCTGCCGCACAACCCAATTCTGGTCAAGCTTTACCGGTCAGACAGGTGGTCTCTAATACTTTGCTAAACAGAGGTTTTCATG